AGTCGGATCAACTTGACAGCAGTGAGTTTGGTTTGGTTTGGTTGTGAAGTTAGAGGAGGTCACATGCCTCTGACATGCCATTTTTAAATAAAACATACATAATGAACTATGGTGACTTTGATCACAGAGTAAATCTGAGCAATGGGCAAAGAATACACTGGTATGAGTTCTTTCTAGTACAATATATTCATGGAATAAATGTTTCATGATTGATTCTCTGCCCATAGAGATAGTTAGGCTTAACAAAGTCCATGATGCCCAATCATTCCTAGATACCCTTATTTTAGCCTGCAGTGATTAATAGAAGAATCTCGTTGGCATTTTTTCAACTCACTCCATCAAATCTGATGTCACCCTCGAAAAGATCCAGTCCCAAATCTAAGAAAAAATGTAAAGATACATGTTAACAAATTGGATCCAAATACCCCACTTAAAAAAATGACTTTTAAAAAAAAATTCACAAACCTTCATTGATATCAAATATGTCTCGATCAATTCCACCATCTACATCTCTGACTAAAATAACAAAGAAAAAACATATCGAGTATTACCTTTATGAAAAGAGAAATCTTTATCAACGATCACATTAGAAATAAGCAAGATTCTTTTGCCTTAGATAAGTGACTACCAGATTCTGATTCAACATACACTGATTGATTGAGAAATTCCCATGAGCCAGGCTTTGGGCAAAGAAACAGTTTTTGCACATATACTCTGCCCTACTCTCTTCCCTGAGCATCAGATGACTTCAGGAATAAGAAACGGGTCACTTTGTCTAATAGTAAGCTTAATTTGTAAGATTAAAATAAAGACTAGATTAATTAAGAAACAAATGTTTAAATTTTATCAAACTAGCCATACCTATCCATTTATCTATAGTCCTTGTCAGTATAACTAGGAACTCTCAGGCAAAATTCCTAAATTGCAAAGGAGTACGTAACCTGGCCATATATACAACTAAGTAGGAATAGACTATATTACCAGATGCATCATGATTTGACACAAAACAACAAAAATAATAATAGCAACCATTCATGGGGTATCTAGGGGTCTCTTTGTGGCGAAAACAGTTAATTGCTCAACTACTTACTAAAAGGTTGGCAGTTCAAACTCACCCAGAATCACCTTGGAAGACAAGCCTGGTGACATGCTTCCAAAAGCTCACAGCCTTTAAAACCATATAGAGCAGCTCTACTCTGCACAGATGGGTCACCATGTGTTGGATTACTCAACAGCTACTGGTTGTTTGTTTATTATTATTTTGTTTTTTTTATGGGTACCTATGTGCCAATCATGTATTTGACCTTTTTTCTACCACCATCTATTTTTCTTCTGGGCATATGGACCCATGAAATACGTGTTATTAAAATGTTCCTCAATAAATCAAATGAAGCCAGAATTTGATGACTGTTCAACTATGGTAAACCAAAACCCAGTACTTAGTATTAAATGTGTCCTAAGTTCTTGTGTTCTATTTTCTACTATCCCCAAAACTTTCTTATACTGAACTTAGAGAAAAATTTTAAAAACTTACCTAAGTTTTCTGGAGTTGGCTGTGAAACAAATATATTAAAAAAAAAAAAAAAGATATTATTAAGATACCCATGACATAAATTGTTTTCTTGGTCCCAGTTTATATCTAAACATTTTCTTTTTTTGTTAATATTATGGATTGCTTCCTGGTCTGTATCCAAGACTGCTAGATTGCAGTCTAATATAACTTTTTTGACCAAAGGTCTTCTCATTTCATACAGAATATGAAACTACCTGTTACATGAATTTGAAGGTGAAGGAAACAAGAAACTAACTTCACAGCTTAAAAAGGACACAGAACATAAGCCTTCAATAAATAAATAAATATTATGGGCACTTTAAAAATTATTTTCTAAAGTATTCATGGAGCAATGTTTGAAAAACTGAACAATGTATTTTGAATGTAAAAACAACAATCCTTTAAAAGAAATTTTCTTCAAGAACTCATTAATTATGTTTTACTTTCATATTTCCCTCAACTGCTTTCAAATGCCAAATGTTTAAGAAAAAAAAAATCAATTGATATATTTTATGATTAAATAAAAACTTCTGAAAATAGCTTCTCCACAAATTACCAAATGAGACTCAGGC